CGGAGTGACACAAGGCATGTCGACTTCCTTTCGAAGAACCTTGTCGACATCGACGGCGGAGAAGAATGCTACACCCTGCGGTAAATCGTCAACCCGAGCTTGTATGCAAACATACTTCGTGTCCAAAGGTTGGCAATTTGTAGTGCTAGCACTGCCCTGAAACGGTCTTCTTTCTTTGACAAGGTATCTCAACTCGTCATGGACGGAGATGAGGATATCGAGCGCCGATATTGTACTTTCGAATAAGGTGATCCATGGATACAATGAGGAGGTGGAGGTAGTCGACGCCGGAGGACTGTACAACCAGTTGATACGCGAGGGCATGTAATCAGAACCAAATCCAGCAGGGAGACAATCCTTCTGCAACGCATGCGTGACGCCACACCCCAGCGCGGGAGTCTGAGGTTTTTCAGACAAGGCAATCTCTTCGAGCTTATTGAAAAGATAACTCTCAGTACCACCGTACCAAAACTTCCTATCAAAGATATCGTTCCGGTGCGTGTTCTTCCCTTTGGTAGAAGCATAAAGGTTCCCCGCGAGTTTTTTGTGCCTCCTCCTGCGTCATGTTGGAATTGCCTTGTTGGAGAAGAAGCATCGCGTGCCGCATTCCCGCACCGTAGATTCGAGAATAGTTGAAAACCTTGGCCTGGTCTCGCGAAATACCAAGGATACTAGCAGTCTTGGAATGCAAATCCGTTCCGGCGGCCTTTGTCCCTTCGAGCGTCATCCAGCCAATGGCAGTAGCGCCGTGCATGCCAAACTGTGCATCACCCATGCAACTAGATATCCAAAGCTCTTCGGAATCGACATCCGCGCCAACGATGGCATACCCCGGAGGTGCGCGGACCATGGATTTCAGTTCAGAGCCGACTCGGTTCTTCTTGGCGTTACTAGCAGTAAGCCAGGTCTTCTCGATCGCTCGACGAGTAACAGTACCCATCGTGATAACCTGAGGAAGGATAATCCCCCACTTTTTAGCACGAGGTGTTTCTGCGAAACCCAGTCCCAACGCAGCAGAAATTTCCGTTAGCTCCTTCTGTTGCGTTTCGAGTTCCTCTGCAGATTGCTCGGTCGCATTGGGAGGGAAGCCCATACTAGAACTAGCAGAGGTCTTGTCATCCCATATAACCACTTGGTTCAAGATCCTATCCCTCGCACTGATCCAGTAACTGCACTGAGCACCCACATCCACCAACTCCTTCAGCTCGTCTCCAGCGCTACTTTTCAGTACACCATCCATGGCAAATTTCAGGAACGATTTAGACAAGGGACTACCGACATTCGCCGACTCGCCATCTTTATGAGGAAGCTTGTAAAACCTGTAACCACTCTCAGAAGTGGCATTCGCGAGTTTGGTCGTCATCTGGATCGTAAAAGCTCAGCGGTTTCGAACGTCCCAACATTTCTTTGGTTGCGGAAGAAACTTTGGAAAACGACGGAGAGGAAGACGGCGGTACGCGAAATATCCATCCGTGTTCGCGCGAGTAGAAGAGCGGGACCCTTGCCATGACATTTTCAACAAGAGCGGAGAGTTTCGATTTCGGATAGTGATATCCAATGAGCCCGGAGGCATGCCTTTTTTAGGCTTGGTGAGATCCCAATACCATTTTGGCCAG